CTCCAGCTGTCCTCTAACCCCGGGCCCAGCCTCGCTTGCCTGCCAGACCCAACACCGCCCCCTCGGCGGGACCCTCGGACCACAGACCCTGAGCTCTCAGGATCCGCTCGGTCCTCCTCGGGGTGAAGGCGGGAGCGGATCCTTGCCCTCCTCCCCTGGTCTGCTTGTGATCTGATTCCTTGCCCTCTACCGACGGCCCCCCAACCACGCGCGCGCGCACACACACACACACACACCTGCCCAGGAGACCTAATCAGGCCGAGAGAAGCGAGGAGTGCAAGGGATCAAGATGGACAATCTCAGAGAGAGGGAGGCTGAGCCCTAGCTACCTACCTACAGAGACAGACAGAGGGACAGAAAGACCTGGGGTATGGGGTGAGAAGAGAGGCCTGGACAGAGCTGGAAGGAGTGCAGTGAGGACAGGTGCAGAGGAGAGGGACAAAGGGGAGAGACCCTGAGGCGGGTAGAAGGGAGGGGCTGCAGAATCCCTGTGCCAGGTCAGGGGCCCAGCGCTCTGAGCTGCAGAAACTCTCTCCCCAGGAACCTGCCACATAGGCCCTGCTAGTCACCACTTTGAAGCCCTCCCCGCCTCCAGGACCCTAGCTCTGAAGACAGTTGACAGTATCGAACCTGCGCTAAACACTAAAAATTACTTCCTGGCTGTAAGGCTCTTACAGGACAAGGTTCCACCTCTCAGAGAGAAAATGAAGGGCCCACACCCACAGGGATCTAGGGAGACCAGGACCTGTGGGGAGGCAGGGCAGGTGGGCAGGCCACCTCCCACAGAGAAGGGAGATCAGGTTAGAGTCAGGCCCTACCCAGGGGCTGCTCACTACACCCAGCTCCTTCCCACCTCCGTACCTGTGCAGGTGTTCCACCCTCCATCTGGTCAGGGCTTGATCCTGCTGGGCTCAATGAACTCCTACTCAATCCTCAAATCCCTGCTTAAATGCCTCTTCCTCCATGAGGCTTTCTCTGATCTTCTTTCCACCCATACACACACAGACAGAGACCCTCTTCTTAGGGAGATAAGGATGAGAGAAGAGAGAATTGCTAACCTGAGAGGGGTGTCTAAGCTGTCCAAGTGGCAGTACAGGGTCTGAGCTATGATCAATCTCCTCCCTTTTCCAGATGGGCCACACCTGGGGTCTCATCCACCATGGTGATACTTCTGCTGTTAACTATGCATCTACCATGTGCCAGAGTCCTCACTAAATGCTTTCCACATGTTATATTTAACCTTCAAAACAATCCTACAACCTGTTTTACAGACTCCAAAAGCATAAGCCAGGAGGTCTGATCTTGCGGACACAGCTGGGCAGTTGAGAGGGAACTCTGGCCACACCCCTTCATGCCCATCAAAACTTAGGACATTCCTGTGGAGCCCAGAAACAAGGGGGCCACTCTACTGCAGGAACCCAGGGCCTTCTTGAAGGGCACAGAGGGCTTTCCTGCTGTCCTGCCCTCTACGTTCTAGTCTCTGCTTCCTGGGGGCAGGGCTGGGTGGCAGTTGGCAAGCAGCAGGGGCAGTGGGGGGAAGTGGAAGTGGCAGGGCTTTGCTCCCCATCCTCAGGACCCATGACCTCAAGTCACAGCTGGACCACCCTTCCGAGCTTCCACTTCCTCATCTACCCAGTGAGGATGGTCATAGCCCTCCTTGTGGGGCTGGGCCAGGGATGAAAGGAGCTGATGTGCTCAGTGACTACCCACCCAGGACCTGGCCCACAGATGCACCCAACAGGCCACGGCTCTTCCCACTGTAATGAGGGACCTAATCATGGAATCAATTATTTAATCTCTGTCCACCTAGAGGGACTGTGAGCCTCCTGAAGGCATGGTCTGCCTTGTTCACAATGTATCCTTAACACCTAACACTCGGTATGACTTAATAAATATATGTGAAAAGGAAAACCAGCTGTCTCCCCACTTAATCTGGGCCAGGCTGGTACACAGCACCTAGTCCCTGGCCTGGGTCTGCTTCCCAGCCCTTGAAATTCCGGGAGCCTGTTGCAATGGGCATGCGCTGGCCAGGGCCAGGAGACGTGTGTTCTAGTCTGGCCACTGCTGGTTCCCGGCCATGTGGCCACGGGCAGCTATATCCCCTCCCTGAGCCTCATTTTCCCATGTCAAGTGGAACTAGCTCAAAGGGCTCAAAGGATTGTCACAAGGCCACAGGTGGGCTCTTTGTGAGGAGAGCACTTTGGGTGCCATGGGCATGGAAGAGAGGGTCATTGTTATTACTCCTTGTAGCTACTTTTGCCTTGAAAGAGAACAAAGCCAGCATCATCCCACCCAGCAGCCAAAATACACTGTATTCCCCAGCATCCCTGCAGGGAAAGAAGAAACCACAGCTTCTCTCATTCCTCCGAGAGACTTCCCTTTCCTCCTGAGGATGAGTCTCAGGAAGGCAGGTGCTGGAGGCTGAAAAGGGGCAGGGGACACAGTTCCCAGCCACTCAGCCCACCACAGCCTCTGCCCATGGCCTCCATTCCCAGGGTCATCCTTCTACCTGACCTCCTGCCTCCCTAGGCCCAGGCAGGGCCTCCTGCTCTTCCTCAGCCTGAACAGCGTGGGGGCATCTAGGGAGAAAACGAGGCCAAGACCTGAGACCTACCAAGCATTTGGGGAAAGCATTTGGGTCCATCACTGGCTCAGAGAACACCTGAAACACCCAATTTTCCCAAGTGCCAGCTGGAAGACTGAGGCCTGGGGAGGAGAGGCTGGGAAGGGCTTCTCCAGGCAATCTCAGGGTGCTCAGTGAGCACCTGCTGTGTGCCCAGCCATGCTCCAACCCCACCCCCAAGATAAAGGCTTCAGGCCACCTGTCCAGTATCTTCTCCTGACACCTCCCACCTCAAATGTGATGTTCCAGGACACTCTGACTCTCCACGCTAACCAGGCCTAATGACCTCCTTTGCTTATGCTGGTCCCCTGCCTGGGATGCCTTCCCCTTCACCCACCCCCACTTGGCTAGTTACTCTCAACCCTACAGCCCCTTCCAGCTACTGTCCCATTTCTTTTTTCCCATTACAGCAAAGCTCCTTGAGAAAGTTGGCCGTGTTCTCCGATTCCTCCCCTATTCCCTCTTTTTTTAATTTTTTTTATTTTGGGGACTTTTTGTTGTTGCTGTTGTTTGGTGGGTTTTGGGGGGGTAATTAGGTTTATTTACTTTTTATTTTTAATGGAGGTACTGGGGATTGAACCCAGCACCTCATGCATGCTAAGCACACACTCTACCAGTGAGCTATACTGTCCCCCACTCCATTGCTTCTTGAACACACTCCAATCTGACTCTCATTCCTCATCCACACTCACTCCACTGACACTACTCATCAAAGTCACTAACACAGCTGCTGAATACGGACGTACAGGTTGGGCACCACACAAGGGTGCCTGAGGGGCTAAGGAGTGGAGAGGGAGCTGAAATCCAGCCTGCTGTCCTCTCACCGTGCTGTGTGCCTAGTTCAAGGCTACCTCTGGCTGGGAGAGGGACACCTTTTCCTTTACACTGAGGTGTCTCCCTTTTGTGTGCCTGCACAGCCGGGTCCACCTGTATAGGGGAGGTACAGAAAGGCCACTTCTTTCTAACATTTGTGCAAAGGGACTAGACAGACGACTAAGGCCTGGTCCCTAGTGACCACTATGATGCCAAATCCAAAAGTCAATTCTCAGACCTCATCTTAACTTATTGGCAGCATTTGACACAGTTGATCACCACCACCCCCCCCCCCAGAAATATGTTCTGCCCTCAACTTCCAGGACCACACTACCCTGGTTTCCCTCCCACTTTCCAGGCTATGCCTTCTCATTTTCTTTTGCTAGTTCCTCCTCCCCTCCCTGGCCTCCAAATGCCGATGCGTCCCAGGGCTGTCCTCTGTCTTCTCCCCTTCGCTCTCCCACCTTGAGCCCACCTTGGCTTCAAGGTCCATCTAAACCCTAATGATTCTCCAGCTCCAACCTTATCCCCGAGGTCAGACCCCCAAGCCCAACTGCTGGTCTCAAGTGCCCACTGGGACGTCCGAAGAGCAGCTCCAACCTACCCCAGCCAAAGTCTCCTCTTTGCAGTAAATGTCACCACCAGCATCCTTCCATCAGCTCAGGCAGAAAACCTGAGAGTTATCTTTGCTTCGCTTCCTCTCACACCCCACCGCCCCACCTGGCTCAAGCCACCATCCTCTCTCACAAGGATAATTACTGCAGCCTCCTAACCGCTCCCCCTGCTTCCACGCAGCCGCACTACCAACACTCCCAACACCACAGCCCAAGGGGTCCTATTCAGCAGCGGTCAGATCGTCATTCTGCTCCAGATCCTCAAATGACTCTCTGGTCACTAAGCCTTAAGCCGAGTCTTACACTGGCTACAAGGCCCCACATTATCTGGCACCAGGCACCTCTCCGACCTCACACCTCTCCTGGCCTCCTCGCTTTTCCTCTAACACACCAGGCACATTCCTACCTCAGGGCCTTTGCACTTACTATCCCTGTGCCTGAAACCCTCCTCCCTAGGGTAGCTGCATGACTCACCCCTTACCCACTCCAGCTCCTCATTCAAATATCACCTTCCCCGACCACCCTACCTAAATACTATCCCCTCCCTCACCCACCTCTCCCTTTCCCTGCTTTCTTTTCCTCCATAACACAGATCTGTATACTACATGTTGATTCTAGTTATTGTCTGTCTCCTGACCACCACGACCATTTCTGGACCATAAACTTCAGGAGGGCAGGAAATCTGTTCCTTCACTTCTGTATCCTAAAGGCCTAGAACACTGCCTGGCACATTGTAGGCCCCCAGTAAGCACTCAGATAACAAACACACCAACAGACAAAGGCAGAAGATAACAGCAGATACTAAAAAAGTGCTTTGAAACAAATAAACAGAAAAAATGGGGCTGTGACTGCACCTAGCTGGAAGAGTGGGAACTCCTTCAGCCAGGTAATCAAAGGAGGTCTCTCTGAGGTGTCCCCAAGC